GGGGGATGGACAGTAGAAGACCTCAAACTTCTCGGCGTCCAGCCAGACGTGGCACAGCGTGCACTGGCTGAAATCCATGGCGATGGTCTTGAGGCCGCTGCTCGTCGCTATGATATTCACGTCGTTGAGGAGTTCCTTCAGCACCTCGAAGAGGCTCTTGAGGGAAGAGCCCTGAACGGACTTGAGGACGAGCACAAAGCGCCTGCCATCTTGGGCCTGGTCCGAGTCCATGGTCGCCTGCTCTTCCGGGGTCCGCGTTGTTGCCTAAATGGACGACCCTCTAAAAGTCATCGTAGGCCGACTGGACCAGCATGCCGTCCGGTTCTTCGTCGTAGGGAGTGAAGGTCAGGCCGGGGGAGGGCGACGTGAAAGAGCTGGTGGTCATTGGAGCAAACATCTCGTCGATCGGAGCCTTCTTCTCGGTCGAGGGTCCCCCCCGCGTACTTCCCCCATGCCTCTTCTTCAGCCACTGGAAGGCCGCGCTCCCTCCGTAGATTTGATGATCGGACACGACGCTGGGCGTCTGACTGATCGGATGTACCGGCCTCTGCCTGTCGATGTTGACGAGCACCGTCGAGGCGAGGTTCTTCGATTCGGCATTGAGTTTGTTGACGAATTCTACCGAATACGGACAGCGAGGGCTGTAGTACACGACATCCCTTCGGTCCATCGATGCTGCTTTGCACATAGGGATCAAAAAGTCTGAAGCGCTTGGACGCACGTAGGGAAATTCTTTCTATCCCCATCTTAGAGGAGGCTAGGGACCACGGGCAGCTCATGTCGAGGCGCAAGAGAACGGCCGAACACTTGGGTCTTACGAATGATACATTAGGTAATGATGCAACTTATGATGGTCCAGTAACGCGCTCGAGGGGTCACCATGACCAGACCCAACGTGTTTTAAGGCTCATCAAAAGGCAAAGAGGAGAAGGGCCGTCTGTGGTCGCCCCGATCCAAGGTGGTCTGGTCGAGGCACACGCACAGGCTACGGCCAACTATGAGAGCCAGATCGAAAAGTTGCAGGCACGTATCGACGGGTACGAGCGGATCCAGAATCAGACCGATAACGAACTCAGGAGGGAACGGGCATCTCGGGAGATTGTAAACAGCCAACTGACGGAGTCGAAGAGGCACATAAAGGATCTAGAGAAGGACATCGAGAGAATAAGACGGGAGGGACGCAAGACCGAGGATAAGCTGCAAAATGAACTCGACTACGAGAAGCGGTCTCGTAAAGTCCAGATGGACAAACTGGAGAAAGAGAGATCCGCCGAGATGAAAAAGTCGTTGGCTGAACAAGCAGAGAAGCATAGGAAAAGGGAGGAAGAATTACGAAAACTCCGAGAAGAAGAGAAGAAGAGATACGAAGCCAAGGTCGACGAGCTCCGAAAAGAGAGAGACGAAGCATTGGCTCGACAGAAGGAGTTGTCGGAGGCAGCAGAGGCGAAGCGAGCTATCGAGATCGAAGATCTGGAGGGGAGAAGAAGAAGAGCCGAAGAAGAGGTCAAGAAACTGAAGGAAGAGCTGCAGAAGAAGGAGCACGAGAGAGAGGAGGCGATCGCGGGATGGAGTCACGTCAGAAAGGGACTGACGCTGGCGAATCAGCAGCTGAACAGAGAGAACGCAGACCTGCAGACGGCGAGAGAGGAGGCCATCGCGTTGATGGACAGGCTGAGAACCGTATACAAAAATCTGCCGCGGAGAGCTTTCGATCTGCCGAGGCGCGTCGAGACGCAAGAGGAGTTGACGGACGTGCTGGAGTCGCTCATCAAAGACCTCAACTCGGATCGTTCGAGGCAGTCGAACCAGCTGGATGACATCTTCCGACGGGTCACGAGGGCCGTGTCGAACTTTCGAGGGTTCTGCGAGAGAGCTGAGAACCGAGTCAATATAGCCGACTCGAACGATATCCAGACGATGATCGGCAATCTCGAAAATAGCCTCACGCACGCGCAGAATATGCACGAAGGAGCACGAGAAACCATCCTCGGCCTCGAGAGGACGGCCGAGACCAGGAAGAGAGACCTAGAGAGGGCCTTGCGGGACTTGGACGACTTGCTGTCGGGCACCGTCCGAGCCGACGCGTCCGAACAGGTGAAGACCATCAAGGATCGACTCGACGCAGCTCGAGAGGAAGCTCGGGCATTCGGGAAGGCAGCGGCGCGAGCAGAGGAATTGAGGAGGGCGAAGGCAGCCGAAGCCGAGCGGACCGGCGCCCAGCTGGCGAGTTTGACGAAAGAGGTTCGGAGGTTGAACGCCGTAGTGGCCCACGGTAACGAGAGAGAAGAATCGATGAGGGAAAAAATCAGGGATTTCGAGAAGCTATGCAGGGACGTGCTGGTCTCTCAGGAACACAGGGAGCAGCTCCTAAACCATGCAGATCCGAAGCTCAGAGAGGTGGGATCCATCGTGAAGACGCTCCTCGACAGCAAGGAAACGCTCGAAAGAGCCCTCCAAGAGAGCAGAGAACGCGAAAGTGCCAGGATGGAACTAGACGACGAGATCGAGGAGCTGAAGACGAGCAAACGAGCTTTGGAACGGCAGAACGCAGAGCTTATGGCCAAGGCGAGTGATCTGCGGGACGAAGTCCAGAGGTCCAACGCCGAGCACGAACATGAGAAATCGAGGATAACTGCAGATTACCAAGCGAGAGAAGCAGCATGGCAGCGTTCGGCCCAAAACGTATCGCGAGATCGGGAGACGTGGATGCAAGGAGCCAAGAGCGAGTTCGAGCAGATATATGCGGAGAGGGTAAGAGAGCTGGATGGGTTCAGAGCACAGGCAGCAGCGGAGGTGGACGCTCATCGAGCCGACAGAGTCGCTCTGGAAGGGCGAGTACGGATCGCAGAGCAAAAGGCGATAGAGGACGAGCAGAATGCGGAGCAGAGGATAGCAGAGATCGGCGCGCAAGTGCGGCAGATAGACAAGAATTACACGAGAGCCTCGGAGGAAAAACAGAGGGAGCTCGAGGAACTCAACGTTTAACTCCGAGCGAGGACTGAGGAGAAGGACGGACTGCTGAGATCAGAACAGGCGTTGCGAGATGAGTTGGCTGCGATGACCGAGCGAGCCGACGAGTCGCAGAAGAGAGTGACGGAGCTGACCGAGGAGATAAACGACCTCAATTCGAGCGAGCAACAGCTGACGGACATAATCGCAAGATTACGCGCCCAGATCGAAGAGAATCGGATACAACGCGAGACGGCCCAATCGACACGGAACCTCCAGATCGAGGGCCTGAGAGAGACGGTGGATAGGTTGAAGAGGAAAAATCAGAGGATACAATTGGAGTTGGACGGAGCTCGCGAAGCGGCAGCGGCATCCGCTCTCAGAGAACATAAGAAAGACGAAGAAGTGACCCGTCTGCAAGGGGTCATAGCCGAGAAAGAGTCGGAGATCGGTAGGAAGGAACAGGCCCACCGGAGAGCGATCGCAGACGTGGACCAGAAGATCGCAGGCTTGGAAGCGAATAAGAACGCACTTCGAGAGCGGATCGAGAAAGTCCAGGGACAAGCTTTCCGAAATGAAACAGTAGCGAGACAACGAGATGAAGATTTGAAGGAGTTGAGGAGCACGATCGCGCGGATGGAAATCGCACAGGCTAAAGAAGTCTCAAACTTGTCAGCAGAAAGGAATAGATTACGACAACAGGCTGCGGCGTCCGAGAGGCTGACTAGGGCACGAGTAGAAGAATTAGAGAAGCTCCGACGCAGGATCGCACAGATGGAAACCGAGCAATCAGCACGCGCGAAAGAGGTCTCAGCTTCGAGTGTGGAAATGAGCAGACTACGAGGCGAGGCGACCCAGTATAAGGATGCAGCGAGTAAAGGAGCCGAAGAAGTGAGAAGGTTGAGGATCAGACTAAAGGAGCAAGAAGAAGCAAAGGCTGCTGCACTCGCCGAACGCAGTGCTCAGGTAACGAACTTGAGGAAAGAACTCGAGGATCTGACGTCCGAACGTGAAGCTCTGAAGGCCAGTGAGAAGGAAAGTCGGGCGGCGGCCGCGGAAGCTTCCGGATCGGCCCTGCGACAAGAGCAGAGAGCCGAAACGATGGCCGCAGATGTCGAACGATTGCAGCGCTCGATGCACGAAGCGAACGAAGAGATCGACCGTGCTAGAGGAGGCATCAGGGAACGAGACGCTGAACTGAACGCAATGACCGACGAGCTGAGAAAAGCTGACGAGGAGAGACGAGCCGTGCAAGAGAAGGAGAAACAGTCGAGGGAGGAGTTGAAGAGGATGATGGATGCCGTCGACAGAGCGGAGAACGACAAGAGGCGTTACGCGCAAGAGGTGGACGCGCTGAAGGCGGCCGTGGCTCAGAAAATGAACACCGTAGACGAATTGAATGCCGAGATCCAGAGAGTCGGTCGAGAGAACCAGACGATCATCGACGAACATCGGAGAGATCTCGCAGCTTTGAGGCGCCAACTGGACAAGGAACGAGAAGCCAAGGTGACGCTCGAGGGAGAGTTGAAGGGAGAGATCGAGAGGACGAAGAACTTGTTAGAAAGATCGCAACGAGAGACGCAAGAGCTGACCAGGGAACTCGGTAGAGCGAACGACACCGTGGTACGAATGACCGAGGCGACGACCGAAGTGAGGCGAGAGCACCTGGCCCACGTCAATCGGCTGGAAGAGACATTGAGAGCCCGGGAGACTGCACATCTCGAGCAGTTGCAGAGAGTGCAGCTGGATGAGGAGACCACCAGACAGAATCTAGAGAGAAGGCACGGGGAGGCTCTCCACCGAGCGAACGAGCGACTCGATGGTGCCCAGGAAGAGGTCGAGAATTACAGGACGCGGCTCGAGGAGGTCGAACGCGACGCGAACCGGGCCGACGTCGCCAACCGAGAGGTAGTACGCAAGCTCGAGCAAAAACTCTCAGCTGCGAAGAGGGCGATCGACGAGCGAGTCTCGGAAGCCGTGAGAGCAGCGAGAGACGAGGCTTGGACTCAGGCGGCAGCACAGATGAACGAATCGGAGGTTCGCATGAGGAAGTTGGAAGAGGAGAATGCCGCACTCCGTAAGGACCTCGAAGATAGAGAGAACCAGTACGAGACGCAGGCCAAGAGTACGAAGGATGAGTACGCTCAGGCCCTGCTGGACGCAGAGAGGAGGGCTCGAGAGGAGCTCCTCGCAAAGGAGCAGAGACTGCAGCAGATGGAATCCGACTTTCGGAACCAGAACGGAGACCTGCGCGCGAGACTCTCTGGGACGACGGTCCAGCTGAGGTCGGCCGAATTGGCTCTCATGGAAAGGAGACAGCAGGAGAGGGAGTTGAGGGAGAGGGTCCCACAGCCGGGTGCTGCGAGTCGACCGACAGAGGTTCGAGACCCGTTCGGACGAGGCGCTCCATCCACCATAGGAGCTCCGACCCGACCGATCCCAGTCCCGCGATCGTACCCTTCCAGAGCAGGAGATCGAGGTGGACGTGGCCCCGCGTTCGGTGCAACCGGTGGTTCGCCCACGCGAGCAGCAGCCGTAGAACGTCAGCGAGTCCGCTTCGAAGAACCACATAAGCGTTCGGATCCAATAGAAGCGATTTCGAATAGACTCGGGAGAATGAGATCCAAACTCGAGCAGCAGGAGGAGACAAAAAACTCATCCGAAGCACTCGCAAACAAACTCAGGCGAATGAAGTTGAAACTCGGTTTGCCTCCGTCTCGCGAAGAGCATGAAGAGTCGAGGAACCCATCCGAAGCACTCGCAAACAAACTCAGGCCAATGAAGTCAAAACTCGGTTTGCCTCCGTCTCGCGAAGAGCACGAAGAGTCGAGGAACCCATCCGAAGGCCTCGCAAACAAGCTCAGACGAATGAAGTCTAAACTCGGACTCCCACCGTCAGGCAGCCAAACGGAACATTACAGAAGGTTGGCTTGATAAGATTCAATGGCGAACGATATACAAATCCTCGTAAGAGGCGTACAGTGCTGAATAATATTTCCGTGTTCTTTTCTAGGTGTCACTATGGTCACAATCTCTGACGTACTTAAGCAACCCAGTCTCCTTATCTCGATCGAGAATCGAGTGCAATTTATAGAAATCTTACAATCATGTTTAGCACATATAAAAAGCGTCAGTCCAGGATCAGATGACATCACAGATTTAGAAGGGATACTCGAGGAACTGACGAGAACGGAAGATATGGCTATGTCCAAGGCCTCTGTTCTGGACCTCCAAGATATTCTTCGTGGAATAATCGAGAGAATCAGAAAAGCTGAAGGCACTGCAGAACACGACAAGAGAGTGAACGAAAGCAGGTTACCCGTGGAAAGAAACCAGAAGATATACGACGAAGCGAGGGGGGTCGCTACGACCGGTTCTGGCAGACGACAGTCCTTTCCGACGACTTACGATGACTTCTGTAAAGAGATCGGCATAGAGAATCATCCGAGTACTAACGCTAAGATGCGCTTGGGAGTAGCATGGAAGAGAATCATGAATGACCCAGAACTCAGAAAGAGGATCGACGACGGCATCATAACACCCGATTGGGACGAGATAGCCAGAAACAAGATGAAGAGCCTCGACATGTCTCCCGTCGAACTCCAAGCCGTTAGGGCTCGGATGCTCGATCTCCAAGATCCGACCAACTCCCTCGGGAATGCGGCGACGGTCTCCAGCAAAGCTCGAGGGAGCACGACGCCCGGAGGCCCCGAGTTTCGAGGCATAGGCTCCGGACCC